TTTTTTTTTTTTTTTTTTTTTTTTTTTTTTTTTTTTGTGGCTTCCCTCTTTTGTGCATCAGCATTGTGGTTATTACACCAGCTACCAAGAACATCTCAAATGCCTTTTGCATGTAAGCACTAGCAGTGCAGACCAGGCAGTCTCTCACAGTCTGTAAGGATGTTAAACAAGAAGTTGAAGAAAGAACTTTGGAGCATATAGTTCTGAGTTGCTCATATTTAAATGTTTTTTGTTTTGTTTTCATTTTCTTGGTTAGGGTTGAAATGATAGGAGGAAGTTAGGTATTTCTGTCCTTGAGGGTAATTCCTCACTTTGTATCCTTAGGAAGGTTCAGATCATTTTTTTCCAGGTAGTGCTCAGGTCTAGCAGAGCATCAAATTCAGCATGTTCTCGCTATTCTCACCAGTGGACTAGAGTATCAAGACTCCCTTCCTTCAGAGAACTCAGCTCATGAAAAGTGACTTTCCCCTTAGACAGGCATGTTAGTTCAGTCTGGCATAGCTACTCTCCTCAAGCTGATTTTCTTAAGCTAGTCTTTTCTAATTTGTTTTGTTTCTGCTGAAAGAAAAAGAATGCATAGTAAATGTCAGTTTATCAAATATCTATGGCGCTTGGTGGCAGAGGGTTTTTTTTAAATAGCAACAGATAAATGATAGTTCCCAGTCACATAGGCTCCATTTCTGTTGTTTGATGCCTTCTTCTAGCAAAAAAAAGTTGAAGGCTGGACTGACTTGCTTTTAATTCAGCAGAATCTAATTAGAGGTCAGCTCTATTCCCATGAACCACTATGCTGAGACATTTCTGAAGAATTTTTGAAAAATGAAAGCATATTGCTTATTGCTCTTAGGAAATCTTTAAATAAATAAAAGACTAGATAATCTTCTTTGATCTTCTTAACAGTATCGATGGTTTATGGCAGAGTTTAAAAATATATTAGTCTTTACTTCTTGTATTCTTGGTAATTGTCTATTTTCCAAAGCACAGAATACAGTTTTAATCCAGTGACTTTGGCTGATGTCAGTAGGGCCAAACATTTATAAATCATCCATGTGGGTTGAGTCCGGGACCACTCGGTAACAAGTTGAGTGGTTTTCAAGTAGGTACTTCAGCATGTTAAGCAAATATCCATATGAGCTATCAATCAGTAAGATTTATGACCATAATAGGGAGAAATTGAAGTTTCTGTTGGGTTATAGATTTAGAGACATGTCTCAGTAAACTGAAAACTGTTTATTTTTGAGAGAGGGTCTCACTAGGTAGCCCAGGCTGATCTTCAACTCACAGCAACCCTCTTGCCTCAGCTTCCTGAGTATTAAGACTGCAGGCATGTGCCACCGTGCCCTGCTATGAGAACAGATTTATGTGAAAAACTACTAGAAGCATATTTGATGTTACATCAAACGGAATTGCTTTCTAAATCTCAAACACTGGCCTGAGAACTCAAAAACTGCTGGTTTATTTAAAAGTTATAGTGGCTCTCTCTCTCTCAAAGATTGCTATTGCTTAGGTAGGGTGTTGGAACTTACCACAAAGGAGGAGAGGATGAGCAGGATACATAGTAGTTTGAAAATAAGTTCTGTCCATAGTGTTCTCATTGGTGTTTGGAAGATCAAAATTACTGACAAGTTCTCAAGCAGATCTCCCACCCCGATGTTGCACTTGGTGTCAAAAATAGATTTTCAGTAAACCAAAAGAAAAAAATGTACTTTTATAATAATAAAACCTAACTGAAAATAGTTTTCATTTTGTCACAAATGTGCTGTTACTTTTTAAAAAAAAAAAAGGATAGGAAATGTTTATAAGGCAGCTGAAGAAAATTTGGAGGATCATAGTTTGATATACTGCTGTTTGTTTTTGTTTTTAATCTTGAAAAATGTTAATACAAAATATTATATATGGATAATCTAACAGGCACCTATGTACCCATTGCTCAAAATGAAGAAATAGTAACATTTGTCATAATGTTTCAGATTATTTTTTATTTTTGAAGAAGCCATTACAGTTAAAGTTGAATTTCCCTATGTTTCCTTGCCCCAAACCACTTTCTTCCCCAGAGAGAAGCACTGTCACAAATTCAGTGTATATGTAATGTTTATAATTTCATCTCATAGAAACAAAAGTTTATATAAAAGGTGCCATAGGGTGTATCTCACTACATAATCTTTATTTTTCCCAATATTGTATTTTGGGGAATCAGCATATTGAAGCACATAGGTCTGTGTCACTGAATTTTAACTGTTCTGTAGTATCCTACTGTATAAATACAATCAAATCTGTTCCACTCCTCAGTCGTTTGGGTAATTTTCAGATTCTCTCTGTTACAAACAGTAATCACTTCTTGGCCTCATGCCTAAGATCAAGTGCAGTATCTGTTATAAACAGTGCTACCATCAGTGACTTCAGTACATGTGTCACCAGGCTTTATGTCAGGATGAGCTAACTCCTCAAGTGGGTGCATTTTCAACTTGATTAGAAGTTGCTGAATTACTACCCAAAGTAAATGTAGCAAATTTTCAGTCCTTTAGCAGATACTGAGAGTCTTCATTGTCATATCCGTACCAGTACTTAAAAGTGGAAGAAATGTGGTCTGTCTTGTTTCATAAATGAGGAAACAGAAGTGTATGGAGAAGGTCCTTGAAGCCCAAGGGGCTGAGACGTTAAAAAAATTTTGAGATAAAATTGTGTTGGCAAATTGTGGTCTCCGTTTACCTTTCAGGAAGTCTCCCATCTTCTCAAGTCTAAGGTCCCAGGGGTGCTTTGGGGTAATTGTGATCATTTTGTTTGTGTGACTCTTAAATTCAGAGGGTTGGGCTGGGGATGTAGCTCAGTGGCACAGCACCTACCTGGCAAACATGAGGCCCTGAGTTCAATTCCTGGCACCACCCACCCAGCCAAAAAAAACTCTGGAGGGTTGTGACAAGCTCAGGGTAGTTTAATATCCCAAGAAGAAAGGTAAGCAGCTATGTTTTCATGTCTATGTCCTGTACTTAGATATAGTAATGCAAACATTACAATTCCCTGTTAGTTGGGGTTTCTTTATGTATTTACTTGTGACTTAGACATACATATTCATGGCAGACATGTAAACTTTTAGTTTTTGATAGCATCTTGGGATTCCTGTCTGAGAGGTTCCAGAGTTCTCTTTTTTGTTAATCAGAAATCATATCTGCTCTTGTTTATGTTCCACGTGGTATCATATGCCTGCTTGCTAGAAGAGGACAGCACAGTGTATCTGCAGTTTATTGTGACATTCTTCCATATAAGTGACTTCACTTGGAAACCCATAGGCACCTTATAGTGCAGTAGTGGCGAAAAGTCGGAATCTAGGGTCTGTTTGTTGCTTTGTGGTGACCTTGGGTTTTGCTTTCTTTTCAGATTGCAGTGCTTTTGTCCACAAAAGCTGCAGAGAAAGTCTGGCCTCCTGTGCAAAGGTCAAAATGAAGGTAAAACATTTGTGGCTAAACAAGGTTGAAATAAGAGGATTTAAACTAACAAAATCCTTAGGAATTGAGAGTTGAGGTTTCTTGGTTTTTATTTATTCATTTGGTACCAACTATGAGACCACAATAATTTTTCTCTAAAATGATCAGTTCTCAATTTTAATGCACTCAGGAATTTGAGACTTTTGGAAAAGAAATTCTTTCAGAGTTTCTCCATGTTAAATATACTTTTTTTTCTGATTTTAATATTTGTATTGGTATTTTTTAAAATTTATTTTTGTTAGTACATTTGTAGTACTTGATTACAGTCATTGTGAGGGGTTGGTACATGTACATAATACATCTTAATTCTTTTTCTGTGTTTCTATTTAAGTGGGATTTTTAAACCATGTCTACAAAACTATTGTGCTGCTCACCCACTTGGCTTCTTTATTTGGAACCATGAGGGCAACAGATAGAAATCAGGGGCTGGTGATATACTGATGGGCAGAGGGCTGCTCTGTTTAACTCATCCTCTCTGTCCAACTTTTTTTCATAAGTACATGCGGATAGCTGTGATCCCATGGTACAGTAATGTAAAGTGTTGATTATATGGTGGTACCTGCACAGAGCATGCTATGTAATAATGTGCACTGATTTTCCAGGGGCTCTTAAAAGAAGAGTTAAGGAGCTGTGGATGTAGCTCAGTGGTAGAGCACTTGGCCGAGCACAGGCGAGGCCCTGTGTTCAGCTCCCTGCACTGGGGGAAGTACCGGGCGTGAGGACATACCTTTTAGGTGCTTGTGTGTTTTGTCGACCAGAAATGACTTTCCATTTCCTGTCAGAGACTTTCCGGCTACATCTTCACAAATGCGCAATGTGTGTGAGTCATCTGTGATCAGATACACCTATCTAGTGCACTGGCATCAATCTTGAGTGTGTATCAGCATTACCTCAAGGGTGTACAAAAAGGAAATTCTGAAATGGGGCCCAGGAATTTGCATATATCTTGATAAGTTCCTAGAGGATGCTGATAGTCCTTGGACCTTACTTTGAGGAACACTGAACTAGCATAAAGAAGGCAGACTTCTGTAACCCAGACTTACTTAGCCTGTAGTCATATATTTTATTTGCCTCATGAAGGATTTTTTTAATTTGAGTTAATGTATTTATCTAAAACTCCTATTTCATATCAATTTGGGTTTCTAATTTCTCCTAGAAAGTTGGAAGGCCCTGTAAGCCTGGTCCAGCTGGTGTTTCCTATCACTCAGCACTTCTAATTCTCCTGATCCTGTGATCTTTCTCTTTTTTCTATAATACTGACCACCTTTTTAGAGTCTGTATTATCTGCCTTTATTAAATTTATTTTTTTATTATCTACATCTTTCTCTTTTTTTTATTTTAAAGTAAAATAAGGATAACATAATAATGGGGGGGCTTACCAAATTACAGACAAAGTGGTAGGAAATTATCAATGGTTATTGTTTTACATATTGTTATCTACAAGATAGTTTCTCAGGAAAACAAATAGACAAATAATAGTGAGTTACAGACAAAAGAGGTAGGAGATTATCAATAGTTGTACTGTACTTTGATATCTTCAAAGTGGCTTCTAAAGAAAATAGATAGAGCTATACATGAGTGAACTATTGAATAACCATTAACTCTTCTCAGTGGTTGTAGGAAACATGTAACAATAAACATGCATCCATTTGCAAAATAGGATAGGAATAATACAAACATTACAGAGTTATGGATAGATTAGTAGGAAAATATCAGTGGCTGCTGTAATACATGGTGGTATCTTCAAAGTGGTTTCTCAGGAAGACAGAGATACAGAAGAAGGATCTAAGAAGTAGTTATAGCCTAAGGGTTGTCAAAAATAGCATATTATCTCCTCACCAGTGACTCCTGTCACTGAGGTATAACAGCTGGAAGGAAGGCCAGGATTGAAAAGAAGGATCGAGAGACTTGCACCTGTGTCTAGCAACAGGCTGTTTTCTTGTTTCTCCATAGTCATGATTACCCAGGGCTCCTCCATGGAGATGACAGTCTGGCCAGAGGGAGAAGGCAGAGTATTCCCCGGGCCCTCTCATTCCTGTTGGACTAACTGGTAGCATGGGTCTGAGCTCTGGGGCCTCTGCTTCAGAGGGCAGACCAATCTCCAGTGGTGTCCTTTGCATCCAGGGCATGGCCCATGGGGCCTCCCAGGGCAGTTCCTCTTGAGGTGGCCTGGCTTTTAACAGTGGTAGCAGATGAATGCAGTCATCGAGTTCTTCTTGGGGCCCTGGGAATCAGATTTGGGGTCTGTTTCTCTTAGTGCTGCAGCAAAAGCAGCTGCTTTTTCTCGGTCTCTTTGTTTTCTCTCCTTGGCCTCCTCCTCATCATGGCTATAGAATACTGAGGAGGCAGTTCTTACAAACATCTCAAGTGAGCCGTCTGGGGTGAAAGCCATTCTTTGTAGCTTTTTCTCTCCAGCCTCCCATTGCATTGGGACCCCACAACCAGTTAGTGTCTTCGCCCCAACCGTCAGCACAGGCAACAGGAATCTTGCTGCAGACCTCTCCGGAGCTCCATACATCTTTCTCTTAACTAGAACATAAGCTCCAGACTCACTAGCCAGCCTGAAGCAGGCATCTTTGATGCATTAGTACTCTTGAGAACTTAGCATGATGTCAGGCTTATACATCTGTACATATTGGAAGCATGGATGTCAAAAAGTAATCCATTAGACTGCTGCCTCTTTCTACACAAAAGGATATACAAGTTTCATATTTCCCCACCTCTGTCATTTGTTACCTGCCTAATCTAGAGTACTTGAGGTCATGTCTGATAAAATTTATTGGTCTTGTGAACATACTGGGTTCTATAGAACAATGATGGTACAGATAATAACATTGCCTGTGTATAAGTGAGGAATTCTTTTTAAATTAGAAGCAGCCTGTTTTCTCTGATGATTTGTTCAATTAAAGTGCTACAGTCTGTAATTTCTTATTTTTTTAATGACATTGGGGATTGAACTCGGGGTCTTTACACTGAGCTATAATCTGAGCCCTTTTTAAATTTTTTATTTTTGAGACAGGGTCTCCTTAAGTTACCCAGGTTGGTGTTGAACCTGTAGTACTCCTCCCTCAGCCTCCCCAGAGTGCTGAGCGTACAGAAATGTGCCACTAAACCTGGCTCGTAATTTTTTTGAAGTATTTTTCATATATATCAGACAAAAGTGTTAACCAAAATGAGTATTTTACCAAAGACTTTGACATCTTATAAATGCTAGTCACTAGAGAAACAGAAATGAGAAAGTCTCTGATGCTCCTCGTGAGGATCCACCAGTCCAGTGAGGAGATGGATACACACTTGCTGTAATAAAGAAAGCTATGTGCAGGAATGTGCAGGGTTTCTAGGAGTCCCAGTTACTGCCCTGGGTGAGGAAAGTAGAAGACCTAGTGGTGGCTTTATGAAGGAGGTAGTCCCTAAGTCATCTGGAAGTAGAAGACTGCCAAGCCTAGGAGAAGAAAAGTTGGCCTGGGAAGAGAAACAATACCTGCAGCGTTGAGTGAGCACTCAGCAGCCCCAGAGGAGGGCAAGTGCATGTGACTTGGCCACAGGATGCCGCTGGCCACTTCAAGGGACAGAGCCAGAAAGCAGGCTGAACCATTCTCTTTTTATTCTAGGCTGTTCTAAACATGGCAGAGGATGAGTTGTCAGTACCGTCTTCATGTATTTATTCTGTTTCTCTAGCAGCCCAAAGGGAACTTCCAGGCACAGGACACGTCATCACTGCCTGTCATCATGAGAAACAAGCGTAAGTACAGCCCACCTCCCAGGATGCAGTTTTGACTGGCTCTGTTGTGCGGTATTCATTTCTTAACCCTCATCACTATTTGAACATCTCTTTTGGGTAAGGAGCTGTTGTTTTGCCCTGAAGATTTGTTGGTCAGTAGCTTCGCATTATACCATCAAGCTGTCTTTGAAGGCCTCTGTAATAGCATGTGCATTAGCTTCAAGGGCACACTACAGCCCTGTATGTGAGCAGGTTCCCTGTGTAGCCTGTTACCTCGCAGTTGTATGAATCAAATAAAATCTTGCTTTTAAATATGTTTATAAATGGTGACGTTATATTCCTCCAACTCTCCCCGAGGACAAGTGTTATATAAAATTGAGTAAATCACACTGCATTCATATCAGGCTCTCTTCAATCTAGGAGGCTTTCCTTTGGTTTTACTTAATATTTTTCCCTTTTCATCCCCTACTTTTTTTTTTTTTTTTCCTGTCTACCCTGCCTTTAGACATACGCATATGGGTGGGGTCTCTCTTCATTCTTTCCACTGAATTTAAACTGGATTATGTCACTTAATCTTTATATATTCTTATTTTTTACTCAATATTATTTTGAAGTTATGTATGTCACTATTATAAGCTGTTGTTTCAGACTGCTGCATGCCATCTTTCATAAGCATATATATCACATTTTAAATCATCACTTTCCCACAAAACAGGATGTTTAAATTGCTCCCAACTCTTACCATAAATGATGTAGTAATGCTTATCTTCTTAATTGTCTCTCTGCAAATCTATGAGAGAATTTCCCAAGGCAGTGTTTTTTAAAGTATAATTCCAAGATCAATTAGACATGTAGATTCTTAGACTTTACCCAGACCCTACCTAAAACTCTAGGGGTGGAGCCCAGTGATCTGTGTTTTATAGATTTTCTAGGTCATCTTGATGTCTTCTTAAGTTTAAGAATCACTGCTTTATGCTGTAATTTTGTAAGTACTTCCAGACAGCTCCAGAATAGCTGTGTCAATCTGCACTCCCACATAATGTAAATTCCCTTCAGACATATTGTTTGGTTATTATTCATCTTCACATGTAGATGACTAGAAGAGATACTTTACTAGATTGACACCCACTTCTGTCTGTGATCCAGCCCATTCCACATGCGTTTTACAAGTCTAAAGCTCTTTTCCCTGTGACATCCCTTGTTTCAGAAAGCTATTTTCATTCATAGTAGATAAAATAACTTTTTGAAAAGTGCCTGTTATGTGCAGCGTTCTTGATATGTATTACTTCTGACCCACACAAATATTTTTTCTTATTTTATCTCACTGAGGCAGGTTAGTGGTTGAGAATGTAATTTATAGACTCAGGTTATATATGCTTGAGTTCCAGTGCCACTGCTGATTAACTGTGTAACCTTGAATTTTACTAAATCTCTGCCTCATTTTCCTCCTCTGTAAAAAACAGGTGATAATAGTACCATAGGGTGGAAGTCAGTCTTAAATGAAATTATAAGGTACTCCGTGGTGGGCACTCTGTTAGATTTTGCTGCATCATCATTACAGTTAGCTGTGATAAGGCTCAAAGGCACTAAGTAGTTTACCCGGCCAGCTATCGGACTGATTTCAGACAAGGAGAAGCTGTTGTTTTCATTCTCCTATGCTGCCTCGTAGATATAACTTGTTCCTTACAACTTTTTAGGACTCTGCATAACAGTCTCATCCTTTCTCGACTCCTTTATATACATCTTTTGCTTCCTCTTCTTTTTTCCCTTTTTCAATACCTCACATGATTTTTTTCTGCCTTCATTTATTACAGTTCTCAGAACATCCTCTTTTTCTTCTGACCGTCCACATCCCCATTATTCTTCAAGAGCTGCTGCTTCTTCCTCCATTATACTGTATTTGCTCCCTGACCCCTTTTGAAACTCTCAGGCATGTTTCAGACTCTTTACACTGAAGCATATTTTCTTTTCCACCAGTTGCTCTAGTTCTCTGTGGGGGCAGGGCCTGTGTCTCAAACTGTGTATTCCCCACAGCAAGGTGTTAAGAGTATATCCCGTTTAAGTACAGTGTTTTATTGTTTTGTCTGTAATAGAATTTGAATGGGAAATGAATGATTATATGAATACCTGTTAAACCAAAAGCATCCTGAAATATATACAACCACCTTCCCAGTCTTATGCCTTTAGCTCTCGACATGCCTGGCCTAGGCAGATAATGGAGCTCATTTATCAAGGGAAAATGACTTGTTACCCATGTGCCAGTGTGACTGCCTTAGCAAATTAGAGCTCCATGGTTCTCTCTGGTCATATTAAGGAGAAATATGTAGTGTGAGAACTAAATAGCTTTGTGGCATTAAAGAAATACTACATTTTCTTTATAAATTAAAGAAATTGATCACAAATCTGTGCTCTTAATGATCAGAAGAATCACTTGAGTTGTAAAATATGTATACTCCTAAGTCCCACCCCACTGGACAAAATAGGGCTGGGAATTTCATACCTAATCAGCTCATCAGATATTTCATGATGGAGTTTCAAAGAACATTAGTCTTAGTTATCGGTAAGATTCCTTTTATCCTTAAAATCTATTCGGTCTTATTTTTTATTAGGTTACATTTTTGAATAGACAGTACTTTAACATAATTTTTTATCCTCACCTAATTTTTATCCCACACACAAACTTAGTTTATCTTTCAGAATTACCATATTAAAGCAAATATTAATGTGAACCATTAATTTTTACCTTTTTTTAAGCAAAAAAGATAGGCTTATGTGCTTTGTTATGTCCCTGTTTTTATTTCTCCCTTTAATAAACATTTTGGTGTCAGTACATGAAGTATGTCCTCAGTGTTGCTAAGCTGCATCATATTCTAATGTATGCTATACTGTAACTTACTAACCAGTCTCTTAATACTCGTTTATATCATTTCTGGTCTTTTGCTTTTATCAACGGTGTTGGCATTTAATAACTTTCCAGACATGCAAGTGTATCTCATAGAGTAAACATGTTCTTTGGAATAATGGATCTCAGAATGTAGGCATTTACAATTTTAGTAGTTTCTTGCAAACTGTTCTCCACAGTTTTTGTACCAACTTACACTCCAAAGACAAATCTGTTTTACACCATTTTTGCTTCTATTTGGCATTTGTAAAATACGTCAGTACTAGGAGGGCATGAATAAATGGTGCTCATTTAGTGTCCTCTCTGCTTTCATAGCCTCACAGCCCAAGGAGCGCCCTCGATCTGCAGTCCTCCTGGCTGAAGAAACCATGGCCGCCCCAGTGTTCACGAATAGACGGCCCCAGCAGAGTGTCTGTCTCTCCAAAAGTGTCTCCATACAGAACATCACTGGGTAAGTGGAGGCTTAGCTAGTACAGTTGACACCTGGGTGACAGGAGCATAATAATCACATTGTTTGACAAAAGATGCTTCTTTTGAGAAACAAGTGCCTCAGATAATGGGCTGGTGCACAGGGGGGTGTTGGAGACAGGAGAAGGGCACTGTGAATTAGATGTACTGTTAGGACTGGCATTTTATGATAGCTGTCTCCTTTAAACACCATTATCAGCCTGGTTTGGGCATTTGTGCATGGTCAGCCCTGTTTTTGAAAAGTCTGAGTTCTAGAAAGATAACTTCATTCAAAATAAAGAATAGGAAAAAAAGATAAAATAATGAATTTTTGTTTGCAGCTACGTTTACATTTCAGGTATCACACTTTCCTGTTGTACCTACAAACCTGGTTGCCTTGTTTCTTTTTAAATCTGTTTTCCTGCCTTGCCTTTTATCTCAAGTCAGTTTCATAGAGGTGAATTATGGGCCACTTACTACTGTTGCTACTCCTCTTCACTGGGTTCCTTTTGTAGTCCCCTACAAAAGTTGCTGTGGCTGCAGGCTGTTCATTGCAGGCTGCATTGCCTGTCAAGTGGTTAGCCTGGGGCCGATTATGTTGTTGACCAGCCTTGGGGAGGTGCCTCCCTCTCCATCCAGTCCCCTGTAAGTCATGTCAAATGCAGGACTCAAAACCTTCCAGGAAAATTTTGAATTGAAGGGTATAAAATCTCCTTTAGGCTATAGTTCCTAACTTCCATGTTGGTCAAAGCTTCCTCCATAAAAAAATAGTTTTAGATAGTTTTGTATTTTTAGTATGTCGTCTTCTCAAAGTTATAATATTACCAAAGTTTATTTGCATTGTACCTTTGAAAACGATGCTGGGCGTGGTGGCGCACGCCTGTAATCCCAGCACTTGGGAGCTGAGGCAGGAGGATTGTTGCAAGTTCGAGACCAGCCTGGGCTACAAAGTGAGCTCAAGGCCATCTGAAGTGCCTAGCGAAACCCTGCCTCAAAAAGACCAAAAAAAAAAAAAAAAAAAAAAAAAGAGAGAGAGAAAAGAGAAGTTGATTCTTAAATAAAACTCAAAGTTTTAGATGATGATTTTGTGTCATACAGCAAACATGCATTGTGTTGGGATTAAGAGGGTCCTGAGAATACAGCTTATTATAAAATAAAAAGTGCACAGCCAGTTGTTATTTAGGGAGTAGGAGGGCAAAAGTGTAATATTTAGGTAATAAACCAAAATTTTTTATGTAAAATTCTCTTTGCTTCTTACCACCTTTTTAAAAAGGCTCAAAAAGTTGAACAGGTTTGCGCTTGCAAACTTTTTTAATAGGGTTCCACGTAGCTGTATACCTAAAACAAATAGTTTGTCTTCAGTCATAGAAGCACTTGCAGCATTTTAGGGTTTTTCTGGTACTCATTTAAGAATAAAAACACGCTTACCAGAGTGTGTTTTACAACAGTATAAACTTACTTTTGTTCCCAGAGTTGGCAGTGAGGAGAACATGTCAAACACCTGGAAATTCCTGTCTCACTCAACAGACTCACTAAATAAAATCAGCAAGGTCAACGAGTCGACAGAATCACTTACTGATGAGGGTAAGAGGAAGTTCTGGCCTATACAGCTTCATATGTCTCTATAGAGATTGGGTTGTGTTGTAGAATACTAATGTTAATGAGTAATACTGTCTGCCTCTTCCTTACTCTGAAGATACTCTAAATTTTAAATCTTCAAATGCATTATAATGAATTGATACTCACACTTAGCCAATTGTGAGCTGTCCTTTGAAAGATGGCATTGATTTTAATTTGGGCATGCTCTTCACTATAAATGCTTTTTCTTCCCCTAGACTTTTGTACATTTGCATTCTAGCTATCTTGGCAGAATTATAAGGCTGTTCTCTATAAACATGTAATGTAGCAGGTCCTTTCTAGATAGTAAGAATCATGTCTTCATTACATTTGATTCATGTTGTGTTTGTCATTTTTACCCAGTCTTGAATACAGAGTCTGTCGCTCCCAAATAGGACTTGATTCTTCTCTAGTACTAGGATATGCTCTCCATGAATGTCCCGTGTATCAGTACAGAATATCTGTGTCTAATGTATCACCCTGAGAAAAGTCTAGCCTAGCTTTTTAGAGGTCACAATGCCAAGGTTCTCATATTGACCTTTTTGATATTTTGAGGAGTAGGTACAGACATGAATGAAGGACAGCTAATGGGAGACTTTGAGATTGATTCCAAGCAGCTCGAAGCAGAGTCCTGGAGTCGGGTAGTGGACAGCAAGTTTCTGAAACAGCAAAAGAAAGATGTGGTCAAACAACAAGAAGTAATTTATGGTGAGATTCTTTATTTTGCTCTGCTTGTGTTTGATTTGCATTATCAAGCATTTTTAAGTGGGTGATTTGTTGGGCTTATGAAAAATGAGTTTTGAGGCTGGGGATTTAGCTCAGTGGCAAAGCGCCTGCCTGGCAAGCGCAAGGTCCTGAGTTCGATTCCTGGTACCAGAAGAAAAACAAAACAAAAAAAAAACCCGAAAAATGAGTTTTTCAGTGTGTGGTATTTTAAAGGTTTTCCTTTAAAACTTTGAGGTTCAGAAATATGGCCTTGTTTGTATCCTCCTTTCTTCCCCTATTGCCTATTCTGTTAAACATTTGACTTTATACATGAGTGCTTAGTTGTACAGCCATCCTAGAATGAGATCTCTTAATGAAAGTGCAGGGTAGTTCCTCAGCTATAGTGGAAAGTAGATGGAACACAAGTCAGTTATGGGAACTAAGAACGCATTCAAGTATGAGAGAGGTTGAATCTAATGAAGATCCTTTGGGAAATCATTATTTAAAACTGTCAGAATCCAGGATAGCTATCATCAGAAAAGAATGTTAGGCTATGTGAAAAATAGAGAAAAAGATGAGATTACTTAGGGAAAATCATCCACTGACCCAGTTTTAAAGTTTAAGTTGGGCTCCACACCTTATGACTGAAATAAATGATCTTTGAAGGACCCTCAATCTCTGTCTCCTTTTAGAGTTGATGCAGACAGAGTTTCATCACATCCGCACGCTCAAAATCATGAGTGATGTCTACAGCCGGGGGATGATGACCGAGCTCCTCTTTGAGCAGCAGATGGTGGAAAAGCTATTCCCTTGTTTGGATGAGCTGATCAGTATTCATAGCCAATTCTTTCAGAGGATCTTGGAGCGGAAGAAGGAATCTCTAGTGGATAAAAGTGAAAAGAACTTCCTTGTCAAGAGGATAGGGGATGTGCTTGTAAATCAGGTGAGGAAGGGGTCTTCTCAGAGTGAAGCTTTGGGGCTTGGGAGCCACATGTTCACATTTGTGTAAACTTGGGGAAGTGATGTCACCTCTCTGACTTAATTTTCCTTTTTTGTAAAATGAGGACAGAATATACTGCTTTAGAAAGTTAAAGGGCATGTATATATAACATACCTAACGTATGGTATATATGTAATAAAAGTGAGTTTTTCTTCCTCGGAATCCAGACCATCATCAGAGGCAATATAATTTAAGAAATCAAAGAATCAAAGAATACTTGTTGGGAAACTTCATCTTTCCCTTATTGCTCAAATCAGAAGAAGCCCATTTATTTAAAAACCAGTGGAAACAGAAAATTAAGCAACTATGAAATATTTCATAGAACATGTATTCTTGATTATTTTCACCAAGGGTGTGGTATGGTTTCATTCCAATCCAAAAATTCATCTAAAAATTATTTTAGCAATTTTAGATGTTTGTGATAGGCAGCTTTTAATGTTTCTTTAAAAAATAATTCTTTTAGGGGCTGGGGATTTAGCTCAGCAGCATGGTGCCTGCCTGGCAAGCACGAGGTTGTGAGTTCGATTCCTGGTACCAGAAGAAAAACAAACAAACAAACAAAAAAATTCTTTTAAAAAATGTTACAAGTATAACATTAACAGAAATGGATATAACACAAGCATGTGACTCAATCTTTTTCTCCGGCAAATCCCTGCTTCTATGTAGAAAAAAGGTGTAATTGCTGGAGCATTTGTCTAAGAATTGGAAATTTTGTCCTTTCCTTGTATTTTTGAGCCCATATCCCTCACTTCATCACTTTAATAGTATGTTCTCTCACTCTTGAAGTGTTTACTGCGTATCTCCTGAATAACAGGTCAGACTACTCATGTGACTAAGTATGGCTTGGACATTTGCCCCAGTGAGCTCCTGTTCTAGAAGTAAAAAGACATGCTTTCAAATACATGCAAATTCTGTGTAGTACACTGCATTTCCCAGATGGACATTGAACAAGGTAATTGTAAAAGACAGGGACCAAAAAGAAAGACCTACAAATGAGGACCGTTCCTCCCCGAAACATCCCCTTTAACAGTATTCTCGTTTCTCTCTTTCTGCCCTCAGGACCTGCATAGGGGCCTTGTCTAATCTTGGCTTGTATGTATCACTTATAGCTCCTTATATTTGTATACAGCCCTTAAAATCTTCAGTGCTAGTTTGTGCCATTGCTAGGAAACCCTTTAGAGAACTTGTTTTACCATTTGAGCAGATAACTTACAATCTCTTTGCCTCAGCTTATCCATTGGTAAATGAATAAAGGAAAAGCTGTCCTGAGTCTTCTTCAAGTTTTTTGGTAAGGATAAATTTGTGTTGCCTCCAGAGATTTTTCAGTATATGGAAATCAGTGCTTGGCATGTGTCATATAAACTCCACCCATAAACTCACTGATTCACGCCAACATAAACATATCCTCAGATGGACCTTTGAGAATGCACACATTTGGGAGTGATTTAAGAGCCATGCAGAATTATTAGAACTGCCTCCCTGAAGGAAGTTGGATAATCAGATCCCTAGATAATGAAACCTGTTGCTGGTATCTACATTATCTAATTTATTAAGGTCAAATTTCTAAGACTCATGGTCACATGATAAATTTCTAGTGAACTTCCTTATTTACTACTGTGTTCATAACAAATGGAAGAAAACATTTTGTAATCTTTGTAGAGCTGGTAAATAAGTTCTGTAAGTTTTTATTTCTTAAATATATGTAACAGCTTTATTGAGATAAAATATGTCATAAAATCCACCCATTTAAAATGTACAGTGAAATGGTTTTTAGTATTTTTACAATTAGGCAGTCATCACCACAGTCAGTTTTAGAACATGTTTATCTCAAAAGGAATGGCTATAACCCTAGCACTATGAGCAGCTGAGACAGGAGATTGCAGGTTTGAGCCCTACTTTGGCAACTTAGTGAGACCCTGTCTCAAAAATAAAAATAAAAATTGGCTAAGGGTGTAGCTGAGTGCAGAGGCCCTGGGCTCAGTTCCTGGTACCTACCCCCAAAACCTCACACTCAGTAGTAGTCACCCACATATCCCACAAACACCATCTGTACCAGTCCTAGGCAATCATTAACTGTTTTATCCCTGTGAAACAATATGTGATCCTTTGTGAGTGTTGTTTTTTTACTTGGCATAATTCTTTGAAGGGTCATCACAAATTATAGCATGTAATGATTCTTCATTCCTTTTTATGGCTGAATAATATTCCATTGCATGGATAACATCTTTTATTTGTTAACAGTCATTATTTCCATCTGGGTACTGTTATGAATAATGCTGCCGTGAATATTGGTTTACAAGTTTTTGGTTATTGTATGTTTAGGGTATACACCTAGGAGTGAGATTGTTGGGTCTTATGAGAACTATAGCCTTTGGATGAAAAGGCTGCATCAGTTTACATTTACAAATAGAATGGAAACTTTTTACAAGCTAGTAACATAGGTTTCGCACTAAGTTATAGCATAACCATTGTTCTCTCCTTTTTCTGCAGTTTTCAGGTGAGAGTGCAGAACGTTTAAAGAAGACATATGGCAAGTTTTGTGGGCAACACAACCAGTCTGTAAACTACTTCAAAGACCTTTATACAAAGGATAAGCGTTTTCAGGCCTTTGTGAAGGTATTGAATGTGACACATGGACATCTCCATGACTGTCAAGAACAGTACATCATTGTGGGTTTTAGCTAGTCATCTTCCTCATATAGTTCCTAACAATTTGTTTATTACCTTGTAGAAGAAGATGAGCAGTTCAGTGGTGAGGAGGCTTGGAATCCCGGAGTGCATATTACTTGTAACCCAGCGGATCACCAAGTACCCGGTTTTATTCCAGCGAATATTGCAGTGTACTAAAGGTGAGTCTCCATTTTAAACTTACTGTAGCTGCGCATGGTGATGCATACCCGTAATCCCAGCACTTGAGAGGCTGAGGCAGTAGGATCGCCGTGAGTTCGAGGCCAGCCTGGACTATGTAGTGCGTTCAAAGGCAATCTGAATTATAGAGTGAGAGCCTGAAAAAAAACCTTAGTCGTTGTAGGCCAGTGGTCTGCTTCTATACGTCCAGTAACACTAGAGACCAGTGTAGAGGAACTATTTCATAGACTGTCAATCTAAAAGAGATCTTGTGTTTCATCTTTGAGTGAAAACTGAGAACGCTGTCACTAGACATTTGGATGGCTGACAGCAAGAAGGAAAGGAAGTACTCACAGATGCCATTCAGAGCTCAGTACCCTGAACAACTTACTGCCCTTATCACTAGACTGGCAGATAAGTCTCACTGCAGCAGCAAGCAGAAACACCAAAACAACACCCAGGATTTGGAGGCAGATTTATTTATGTTGGTGCGCACTGATCTAGGGGCCTACACGAGTTAAGCAAGCAGGAAGTACAGAGGCAGAATGGCTTGTCAATTGGGGCTTGGTGTATACAATGTGCATCACAGTGACCAGCCATTTCTAAGAGACAGGAGCAACCAGAACTGGAACAAGAACTATTACCTGGGCAACTAGCAAACCGAAGTATACCGGGGGGGGGGGGGCGGTATTTTCTGCTATGCCAGCAGTTCCTCTGTGAAGTCTAGAATTGCTGCTGGTTCTCATTTAATCAGTATTTACTATTTCCTCTCTCTTGGCTATTCTTGCTTCCAACCAGTTAAAGATTATAAGATGATTATATTAAAGATTAGGTAAGATAAACATAAATAACACGTTGCTCCTCTCTCTACTGCTTTTCCTAAGAATGATTTCTTATATTTTAGAATGGAGCATATAGTTGCATGTCATCCATACCATGTAGAATTTCTTCCTTTAGAATTAAATTTATGACAGCCAGAAAGATAGACCCGTGACCTGTGCCCCTTTAGTTTTACTCTGATAGCGTAACTGCAAAGGGAAAGTGATGATGTGGTAGACCAAGAAAGCACAGTTCCTTCCCATTTCATTCTGGTCTGAAAGGAGCCATTAAAAACAGCTTTGCCCTTCCCTCCCAAGACAATGAAGCTGAGCAGGATGACCTGGCTCAGTCTTTGAGCCTGGTGAAGGATGTCATTGGAGCTGTGGACAGCAAAGTGGCAAGTTATGAGAAGAAAGTGCGTCTCAACGAGATCTATACGAAGACAGATAGCAAGTCGATCATGAGGATGAAGAGCGGCCAGATGTTTGCCAAGGAGGATTTGAAGCGGAAGAAGCTGGTGCGGGATGGGAGTGTGTTTTTGAAGAGCACAGCAGGAAGGTTGAAAGGTAAAGCTTTGCTCGCTTCGGTACGAGTTGTTGCACCTCAGGAGATTAGGGAGGATCCACGCCCTTTTGTTGGAAGTTCATCAGATTTTCTTCTAGAGAGTCATATTCAAATATAACCCAGGATCAGTGACCATTTAGTTTTGTCAAAAAAGACTAGTTTGCAATAATTTACAAAATCATATGAAATACAGGAGAAGAAGAAATAATGCAGCCAGGAAAAAATTTTTTAAAAAACCCAAAAGGTATAGATTAATACTAATTTGTAAGCTGGACGTGATGGCACATGCCTGTAATCCTAACACTCGCGAGGCTGAGGCAGGAGGATCAGGAGATTGAGGCCAGTGTGGGCTATGTAGGGAGTTCAAGGTCAACCTAAACTGCATAGCAAAACCCCTGTCTCCAAAAAAAAAGATTAATACCTACTTGTAAGCTGTTAATAAGAGCATACTCCTTTCTGAGACATGAGCAGCCGCTGCGATTATGGCTATGGCAGAACAGTTGCCAGGAGGAAAAGACAGTCAGTGACAATTGATAGAAGTCTGTGAAATTGAAATATATCACTTGTTCCCAGAGATGTTGGGATTTGTGGCTTCTGAGACTTAGAGAAAGGGGAGTTTAACTCGTATCTGTATTATACTTTGTGACATTCATATCTTGTAACTTTTTATACAGTAAGAGGCCATCAAATACTTTCCATTTTCCATTTGGTTTTAATCTTCACTTTTCATTGGGTGTGGTGGCGCAGGCCTGTAATCCTAGCACTTAGGAAGCTGAGGCAGGAGGATCCTTGTGAGTTCGAGCCTGGGCTACAAAGTGAGCTCAAGGCCAGCCTGAACTAGCTAGCAAGACCCTGTCTCAAAAAGACAAAAAAAAAAAAAAAAAAGAATCTTCAGCCATGGCAAATTTTAAGGAAGCGAGTAGTTATTTTGCTTTTGTTGTGCTGGGTATCAGGGCTTTACATGCGCTAAGCAAGGGTTCTGCTAGTGAACTCCACACACAAATACCAAATGGGTGGGCCTTTGTGAGCTCTGGCTGCACAAGCAGCCTTGTACCCCCTTGTCATTGGCCTTAGCGAGCTGAGGGTCACCCCCTTGGCATAGCCACTCTGGTCTCTGAGGTGTAGTGATGCAGGCAGCTGCTGTCCATGTACCTGAGCACCCTTGGTGTAGAGTGTGGACGTGCTTAGCACAGAAGTCCCAGGCAGTCAGCTCAGTTCTCCCATGAGTGATGTTGGGATCAGAGTGGAGAGACATAAAGAAGCCATTGCTGGCTAGTGACAAGCGCTGGAGTAGAAGAGGGGTGGGAACAGCAGTAGAGACGAGTCTTAAAGGATGGAGAGAAAGGTGCCCGGCAGGTAGGAAGAAGTTGATCCTGGTGCCAGGTGAGAATAAGTTGGAAGCATGGAGGAGGAAAGCCTAGCAACTGATGGTAGGCAGCCGGGCCTCTCAGACAGGCATCAAGTAAGGGCAGCAGTGGGCAGCAGGCCTCAAGGAACTCCTGAGCCAGCCAATGGTGGAGCACATTCCAGGCTGCGGGCTGGCAGGCAGTACCCCAATGGGTGTGGGCGAAGGCTGCATTCACCACTGGGCTTTAAGCGGGAAAGAGACTCACACTGGCCAGGGCCAGTAACAGGGTCTCACACTGAAAGTAACAGGGTCTCAGGAAGTTCTCAAGTTGTTCCATAAGTAGTGACCTGTCCTGCACTGTAATAGAAGGCTTGGAAACGAAGTCAGGGGTATGCCAGAGGCAGGAGATGGCCCTTGCTTCCACCAGCCAGCTATTATGTGATAGCATAAAGAGGCCCAAACTTGGGCCTCTTCCCACACTGCCCCTTTGAGGCTGTCTTGTGAGCAGCTGGCCATTCACAAATACCTGCCCTCTTACAAGGACCTGGGTTTTCTAGAGCTGCTGCTGTCTGGAGCCACTGCTTTATTATTTACATTACATGACAATGTCTTCATTCCCATAATTAAAACTGATAGATTTCAGCTGTCAGAATAGAGTTGTGGTTAAACCAAAATAGTAGGTTTTCTGGTTTGGTACCTTCAGTGGAGATAGGAGCTGGTGTTCAGTCTTTTCACTCCAGGTGTACTCGTGAAAGGAACAGCCATTACTGTGTTGAATACCCTTGGAAAGGAATGGGATTGTTTTTCTCTGATCCACTGAGAATAAGCAGATGAACTTCAGGATCCAACAAAGTTGAAACTTGTTTAGATTTTTTTGGCAGACATGTGAATTATTTAAAAGAAAAACTTGTCAAAACTGATGATAGTGCTTGGAAAATTACTGTAGTCTGGGCTGAAAAATTAGACTTCCCCAGGAGTCAAACACTTCCATTTTTTCATAGCTTTACAATCAATTCCATGGAAAAGGGATTCCAGCTGGGGCAGAGATTAAAGAAAAAGACCAAGAGGGACTGTGTAAATTAGTTGCATCCTTTTCCCCAAAGGAATCGTAGGCTACACTTTGCAGAGTGACTCGGAGATGTCACAGTGTCCATTAGGGAGCAATAGGAAAGTCTTCTGTTTCGTTTTGTGCTTGAGGAGCAGCTATGGATGGAACCTGGGGCTCCACACACGCTAGGAATGCATTCTGAGATACACCTATCCCCTTGGTTTTGGTTTTGATGGAGAGGAAGAGAGGGCTGTTGCCGTGGTATAGAGAAGGAGAAGAGTAGACTACTGCCTGTGGGGGCTGGGGTGGGCCCTGTATTTCTTTGTGCTTAGGAGGCTGAAGGCTGTGTCTAGAGGCCATTCTTACTCTTTTGTGTCAGAGAAATCTACTTTTCACTAGACTTGGGCATTTCTGTACATCACCTTTGGCCAGCTTTCCTGGTTGCTGTTTCTCATTACTATAATCAGTTTAAGAAAGAATTACTGAATATTTTGTTAATAGGTTGCTGCTTAATATCTATTGATATCAAGGTCTTTGCAATGAGCTACATCCCTAGTCCTTTTTGTTTGACAATCACAGTAAGTCCCTAAGTTGCTCAGGCTGTGCTCAAACTTGTGATCTGCCTGCCTGAACCTCCCATCATGCTGGGATTACAGACATGTGCCACAGTGCCAAACTTGAAGAAGTCCAGTTTTGAAACTTAGGATTAGGGTTTTACTCTTTAAAATTTTGCCTTATAATATATATTTTCTCAGGAATGAGTACTTAAAATCTTCTAAGACAAACCCTGACTCTGATTAACTATTAAGTAGTCACTGTTCTTTTTTCCCATTTCCTCTTTCCAGAGGTTCAGGCAGTTCTGCTCACTGACATTTTAGTTTTCCTTCAAGAAAAAGACCAGAAATACATCTTTGCATCACTGGTAAGTGAAGTCGTTATTTTCTTCTGTTTGTAATGAATAGTATTCACAATGGCTAGGTTAGGTATGGAATGTAAACACTCTGTTATGGTTTGCCCACCCTCTGAAAGGTAATTTATTCAGGACAGAGTCATCTGAGTAATCTCTTACAAACCTTTTTTGTGATTTTCTTTTTGTTTCTCCCTACTGCCAAAATTATTTTTCTGTTCCCTCATAATCCTTTTGCATACCCTGAACGTATTTGCTTATTTGATTTAATCAGAGATCTGTAACTGGAGTATTTCTCACCCTGTTGACCCTCAAAATGATGCTTATGTGTGATAATGCTGACCAGTATTTCGATGGGGAACTTGCAAAGATTCATCACGTAGAAAACACAACCAGAAGTTTTCTGCCCGTAAACTGTCACCTCCTTTTTTGGAAATCCTTTATTATTGTTCATCAAAATTTGAATGAAATAGTGAGATATTTCTCTTTATCCTAAAGCTACCGTTTTTATTAAAATTATATGCATTTAAAACGGCATCTGCTCTTACCTTAGATGAAATTTATCCTTAAGTGTTAAAACTTAGACATTTCTTACATTTGTCCTCCCATTCTTCCAGGACCAGAAATCAACAGTGATCTCTTTAAAGAAGCTGATTGTAAGAGAAGTGGCACATGAGGAGAAAGGTCTGTTTCTAATCAGTATGGGAGTAAAAGACCCAGAGATGGTCGAGGTACATGCCAGCTCCAAAGAAGAGCGCAACAGCTGGATTCAGATCATTCAGGATACAATCAACACCCTGTAAGCAAGTCACCAGGGCTCAACCTACCCAGCCCTCCTAATACCTTTATGTCCCATAATAGACCAGGCAGTCATTGACATCTTAGAAATGTGTTGTTTCATCTTGTTTTGTTTGGTTGCTTAGAAACAGAGATGAAGATGAGGGAATTCCTAGTGAGAATGAGGAAGAAAAGAAGATGATGGACACCAAAACCCGGGAGCTAAAAGGTAAACTGTTCTTAGCAGTGTGAGGCCCTTGTCTGTGCACCGTCTGCAGTTGCAGAAGGCAGCTAGTGGTGTCCAGAGTTGCTGGCTGTGCTCAGTTCCAGGGCTGTCGCAGCGGCCTCGACTGCAGGGAGACAAATAGCTTTGAACACCAAAGTCCTGACAAAGAGGGGCAGTAAGAATGATCCAGTGCTAGGTCAAGGGAACATTAATTGTCTTGTCTTAGTACCATTGCTCTTAGACCCTGCTGTGTTTTTTGTACTTTGTCACAGAGAATTTCCCAAATTTTATAGACACATTTAAGATTAAACAATCAGAAGAAGGTATTTGAGGAAAAATCTTTCCTGGTTAATCTGTTTTAATTCTCCTGCCAGTCCCTGGCTTTCTCAGTTACCCGTACATTCACAGATGAGTTACGAGGTGGCTTGGGGAGAAGTATTTCCTGGTTATATTTGATCTCTGTTTACCAGGGACCAGTATTGCAAGTGGTCTTGTCAGCCTCACTGCAAGGCAGGTGTTCAAATCCCTGTTGTGCAGATGAGACTGTGGAGGACCTCAAAGCCACACAACCCAAAGTGCAGTAAGGTACTAAGCTGGAATCCTAATCCCTGTCTTAAAAACAGTACGGCCTGGCATTCTTCCTGCTTTGCTAGGGACTTACTGAGTGCTCCAAAGTAAAAACTGTGCTTTGAGTAAAAATCAAGCTGGCAGTCAAAGAAGTGCAGGCTTTCAAGAAGTTAAGTTATTCCTTCAAGCTATTCAAAGTGGTAGCATTCTGCTTCATCAAAGAGGGGAAAACAAGATGGGCAGGTTTAGACTCTGGCCAGATTTATATCTAAGTTATTGGATATAAATAACTTATATTTATGAATAGGATGAATAGGATGACAATATAAAATGTTCCTTCTGTTAACATTTGTTAAGCACTTGGCTAGGTGTACTGCTAGGAAGCAAAGATTTGAGAAGACCCACTCCCGCAAGGGAGATTCATGGGACCATATGCATACATGAAGTGTGTGGGTTCTATTCATCCTGTCTCTAGTGAGACCCACCAAGAAGCTCATACCTGATTACATCTGAAAAAGCAAGTGGTCTCAACTATTAGGGGTCATGTGCAAAGGTGAAAAGGACTCGAGGAGCCTGCCAAAGGATGGCAGGTTTCGTGTCTCTGGAAGGTCAGGGCTAAGTGACAGGAGCTTAAACTGGGGAGGCGGCAGGTCTTGAAATAAAAGAATGATTTTCGATTTTTTTAGCATGTGTTAAAGCCCGTTGGGAGAATTGCTTGAAAGAATAGGAAAACAGCTTCAAGCACAGAGGCCAATTAGGAGGCTTTTAGGATATTGGGTAGATGGATACGAGATTTTAGGATAGAGGGATACGAGAAATAAAGTTGTTAAAACCTGGCCAGCTGGGTGTGGGTGCTGGCACAGGGCAAGGAAACAAAATCTGTCCCGGTTTGTAGCGTGGATAACCTGAAATGAAGAGCTGCTGACTGAGGAAGAGATCACAGGCTACAGGAAGGGTGGGGCAGCAAGGCCTGCACACAGATTGGGTTCAGACACAGAGAACAAGGCATCTTGGCACAGGTGGCCACTTGAAGGTGGAAGCTGGTGGTGAGAAAAGGTAGCATTTGGGGTGCTTGTGAATTATGACCATGTAGGTGGTTCCTGAAGCCGAAGCCAAGGGAATGACAGAGATCCCAGCAGAAAAGTGTGGAAGGTGTGCAAAGCCACCCAGGATGGAGCCAAGAGCAGAGTCCAGCTCTGGCCCACCACTTCTGGCCGCAGACCCTTACAGACTGGGAGGAAGAAAACAAGTGTCCTCAGAGTGGAGGCGAGACGCTCTTCCAAAGGAGGGAATAGTCATCCTTAACAAAGACCTAGAACTAAGCCAGGGTTGAGAGATGAGAGCAGCTGGGAAGTTGCAGGGCTTAGGCCAAGGAAATAAAAAATGGGGCGGGGAAGTGGAAACAGAGGGCATACTTATGTCAGATAGGCCAGTGTTTGCCAGAGGACCCAAGGTAGCTTACTAAGTAGAAATTACAGTTAATGCTGAACTTTTTTTTGACCAATTTTGCATGCTTTTGTCTGGTACTCTGAACAACTACTTTGAAGACAACAATATGCGATATAACAACCATGGTTGAATTCATACCATCTTGTTTTTTGAAATTCTTCATCGTTTCTAATTTTTTTTAACTTCTTAAAAATTATCCTTAAAATAAAAAATAGAAATACAAAAAGAATTACAGAGCAGAAACTTGAAGGGGCAGGGAGCCATTTTCTGTCTTAAACCCTTTCCATAAATTACCACAAGGTGGCGCTTATGTCTTAATGCTGTTGTAATGCTGAACAAATCATGCTGCCTTCTCCATCCACCTTGCAGAACAACTACAACAGAAGGACCAGCAGATCCTCCTCCTCCTGGAAGAGAAGGAGATGATCTTCCGGGACATGACCGAGTGCAGCACTCCCTTGTCGGATGAGTGCTCCCCAGCTCAAAGTCCTAGAACCCTTTTCCGCTCCAACACAGAGGAGGCGCTGAAAGGAGGACCCTTAATGAAGAGTGCAATAAATGAGGGTAATTTACATTCAGCACTGCTCCTCATCTACGTACCGGTGTTACTTTGTGTCTGTAAAATAAAGCACAATACAGAAAATCAGCCAGAATGGGTGTTTCACCTGAGTAAATCACCAGGTGAACATCCTTATAAACACTACCCACATTAAGTAAAACGTGGCCAGATACCCCAAAAGGCCCTCCGTATGCTCTGTCCCTGTCGTATGTCCCTTCCTTCTCAAGGAATGAAGACTCTGGGTTTTATCAGTAATCACCACTCACATATCATCCCCTTTGGGGATGTATGCTCTGTCCTCTGTGACCCTGATCTGTAGCCTGTGCTGTATAGACACATGTAATTGGCGCTCACCACCAGTGCATAGCTCAGTACCCCTGTGGCAGTTCTGGACATCTGAAACTTAGCTCCAGCTGATGCCTCTGGGAAGCCTCAGAATAATATCCCTTGAGTTTTTTACAAGTTGGGAATAATCTGTATACTTTACACTTGAAAGTCTCTTCTGTAAGATATGAAATCTTTGGCCCATATTTTCTTCACCTGGTATGTTTAATTTTTCTCAGATATTACTGCATTTGGTAATGGCCTAAAGCGTTGCTGTCGGAGGCTGATGATAATTTGATTTTCCGACATAAGTCACATGTTCTTTGCCTTGATGCCCAAAGGATTTTTATTTCTTTTCTTAAATCCAAGTAGTTTTCTAAACTGGGCCTTGTTGGTTATTCTGCGTTGCTGTCAGGTTCACAGTGACCTTGTTTTGATGTGTGGTTTCAAATGTTTCTGATTTCAGGAGATTATTCCTGAATTGGTTTTAGTGTTTTCCATGTTTCCTGGTTGTGATTTTCTCCTCCAAGAACTTCCGCTACCCACTGGTGGATCATTTTGTGTTCTTGTTATGTCATTTTTGAATATTTGAATATTCTTTCACCTATCAAACCTTTTTAATCCCACATTGATTTATCATTTCTATGTTTTGTCTCCAGTTCTTTGGGTTTTGCCATCGCATGTGTTTTTCTAATTTTGATTTTAGTCTTTTCATGCTTCGTGTCATTTTTCTTAATGTGTTTGGCTCATTTATTTCATGGATACACCTTCCTGATCTGCTTGTAGTATCTGTGGGGAGGTTATAAACCTTGTCCTCTACCTTTGTATGGGATTTGACGTCAGTATTTTTCTGTTACTCATCTTTGCAGGAAATCAGTTTAAATTTCTAGGTTTGGGTCCTCTCACCCTGTGGCACTCCGGCATGATTGTTACGTAGTGTCTCATGGTGCTTGTCAGGAGAGTTCCTGCCTCGGACCCCCCTCAGTCCACCTGGCCCTCTTTTCCCTCTGTCTCTCTCCTGATCAGATTTACTCCATTTTTGACATGTTCACAGCTCCGTGGGCCCTGCCCCACAAGAGAACCCAGGACAGTGGGAGTTTAGAATTCACGTGCTCAGACTTCTTTAGCCCCTTAAGCCCATTTAGTATCAGAGAGGCCAGCACCTTACCATTTTTCTGTTCTCAAACTGGCCTGCCTTGAAACTTTCGAAAGACTATATTTTGGCTCCTTTGGATCTAACTCCAGAAGCCAGTCTCCTTCTATGAAATTACTTTTTCCTTCCCTGGACCACTTAAAATTTTCCAGATCTGTAGAAGTAAAGTTTAAATTTCCAGTAGAATCTAACAAAAACATAAACCCTGAACAGAGACACTCTGGTCAGGGAAGTCATACATTACCATGACACTGCTGTGTGTGTATGTTTCCTCTCTGTAGTGGAGCTCCTCCAGGGGCTGGTGAGCGGAAGCCTGGGAGGCACACTTGCCCAGACTGTCAGCAGCTCTATGGAGCAAGAAGCCGTGGTTGGCCCTGTGTCCTTGCCGCGGAGAGCAGAGACCTTTGGAGGATTTGACAGCCATCAGATGAATGTGACTAAAGGTGAGCAATCCTTGACTCGCACACATAGGTAAAATGACCTGGGCTTTGCCAGCTCTACCTCCTTTCCAGTTCAACCAGCGTGTGTTTTAATGAGATTGTGAAACACTAAGAATCTATTACAGGCCGGCCTGAACTACACAGTGAGACCCTGTCTCCAAAAAAAAACCAAAAATCAAAAAAATCTGTTGGACGTATATTTTGAATAATAATAGAAGTTAAGCATTACTAACCCAAAATTCAAAATCTGAAGAGCCTCAAAATCTAAAACTTCTGAAATGCCAGTATGTTGCCACAAGTGAAATATCCTACAATTGGCCTCAGGTGACAGGTTGAAGTCAGAATGCAGGCACACTAAAAATGCTGTATAAAATTACCATTGTAAAACCGTGAATTTCTGACTTGTACACATGCCCGAGATACCTTAGTAATGTGTGCAGATACTCCAGGGTCCAAAGTCCAGAACACTTCTGGTCCCAGGCATTTTGGATAAATGATACTGTTTTCCCTCCTGCTTCTAGTTCTTCTTCATGGAAATTATTAATGATGGCTTAGTTGCCACCAAGTGGCTTCCAGTTTTTTGACATTAATAGGATTTATAAATGTCATATCCTTGAACTAGCTACACTGTACTCTTCGCTTGTTTTCAGGAGGTGAAAAGGAAGAAGGAGATGATGGCCAAGATCTCAGGAGAACAGAGTCAGATAGCGGTCTTAAAAAGGTATTGCTTTGTAGATACACTGTGAACCTCCTCGAAACTTTCAAAGTGCTGCACTTCGGTCTTGTTTTGCATGCCTGACTGGCAACTTTCAGGAGAAAGCACATTTTACAAAACAAACTCTACAGTTGAGAGTCCCACATTATTGGCTCCTTGGCCTGGCCAATTTAAAGCCCGTTTACTTCCCACTCCTGAGTTACCATGGCCCTAGCGGGACCAGTTTCGTTAAGTTTGCTTAGGTGCCCCACTAACTGGGTCTGTTCATCAAACTTCTGTAACAAATAGTTCAACCTCAGATCTTTGCAGTAAGAATTTATGGTAGAAAAGAGACCATAGGAAACTATAGTGTAACTTAGAAATGCACTGAATATAACTTTTACATCAAGATCTTCATGTGTATAAACATAATTTTTTTGTTTTTTAGGGTGGAAATGCTAACCTAGTATTTACGCTTAAAAGAAACAGTGAGGTAAGGACATTGTTAAACTATACAAAGAGTATTTGGGGCTGAGGATGTAGTTCAGTGTTAGAGCGCCTGTCTGACATGCACGAGGCCCTGGGTTCAATCTCCAGTACCACCAAAAAAACACAACTGGAAGGTTGAGGCAGGATGATCATAAGTCCAAGACCAACTCAAGCAACTTAGCAAGAGCCTGTCTTAAAATTTAAACGTAAGGCAGAGTAGGACAGAGAGGTAGCTCAGCGCACAGATCCTGGGTTCATTCCCCAGTACTTGGGATTGGAGGAATCTTATCATTAGGCTAACAATGTTCCTGTTTTCATTGCTGTTTGTGGTTGGGTAAGCTCAAGTGGCATTTCTTCTTTTACTGCCACCGTACTGGGGATTGAACCCAGGGTTTGTGCACGCAAAGCAGCCTTGGCTCTACTGCAGACTGAGCTGCTGTACACACAGGACCCGCGTTATTTTTAATATTTCATGTAACTGGCCATTTGTATTTCTGTTGTAAATGCCTTGTGACAGAAATACAAGCAATTCTCTTCTCTTTCCCCTAATCATCTACAAGAGCTTTTTTTGTTCTTTTGAGGTGGAGCCTCACTATGTTGCCCAAGCTGGCCTCAAACTTGAGGTCCTCTTGCCTCAGCCTCCTGAGTAGCTGGGATTATAGGCTCACCTGGCATAAACCTTTTTTAAAATCAGTGATTTTTTTTTTTATTTGACTTTTTTTCCTTTGCTTTTCACATTACTTTTTCGATCTTGTCTGTGTTAGGAAAGCCTTCTCTCATATTTTCTTTTAACTCTTTTATGCTTCAGTTTTTACCTTTAACATATGAATCTGTTCAAATCCTTTGTTGGTGTGTGAACCAAGGTCCCAATTTAATGTTTTCTACTAACGTGAACAGTTTTCTCAGAACAGTTAATTTAACATTCTTCCTTTCCTCCATTGATTAGACCAGGTATTTATATACTGAATTTTTAAGGCCTTCTGTAGGCTTTCTTTTCTACACTAGTGTATATAGCACTTTTACTCTAGTCCCTTTAAACAGTAGAAACTTCGCAGTGGATACTGGTAACTTCCCTATGAACACATTATTTTATTTGGTCTTTTTTTTTCTTGGCTACTTCTGCTTGCTTAATGCCCCTTGATACTTTCAACTGTAAGGATTTCAGTAAAATTGAAGCCCCTTATAAGATCTAAGGGTTTTATAACCGTGTAGCATGATGGATTCGGAAGTTCATGAAGGCCTGGTTTCCATTTTGCTCCTTTTGCAGGTTGTCCGGAGCATTGTTCATCTGCATGAACTCCTCAGCACCCTGCAGGTATGGGACTTCTTTCATCATGCACGTCCTTGTGTGAAGGACGGAGCAGGTTCTTATGGGTAAATAGAGTCCCAGCCTGGAGTCCTGTGGGTACTGGAGTTGACGAGCTGTTGTAGACTGGAGACTCAGCTTGGTGACAAGTCTCACACCCTTAAAACGTAAGAGGGTGCAGTGTGGCAGTGCCCCCAGGTGTGCAGTCAGGACGGGCCTCAGCAGGTAACGCTCCTCCACAGCCAGCGTTGCACAGCTGTCTTCTGTGTGCCTCCCTCAGGGTGTGGTGTTGCAGCAGGACAGCTACATCGAGGACCAGAAGCTGGTGCTGACCGAGAGGGCACTTACACGGAGCGTGTCCCGCCCCAGCTCCCTCATCGAGCAGGAGAAGCAGCGCAGCCTGGAGAAGCAGCGCCAGGACCTGGCCAACTTGCAGAAGCAGCAGTCCCAGCACCTGGAGGAAAAGCGCCGGCGCGAGCGCGAGTGGGAGGCCCGGGAGAGGGAGCTGCGTGAGCGTGAGGCACGGCTGGCCGAGCGTGAGGAGAAGGTGCACCGTGGGCAGCGGGACCTGGACAGGGACTGGGAGGAGCTCCAGCAGAAGAAGGGCGTGTACCAGTGCGACCTGGAGCGGCTGCGCACAGCTCAGAAGCAGTTGGAGCGGGAGCAGGAGCAGCTGCGGCGGAACATGGAGCAGTTCAGCCAGAGGCAGATGGAGCGGGACTTGTGTCAGGTATCAGGAGCCTGCTGAGCCGGGAGGAGGGCAGCTCGCATGTCCTGCACTGTGGGGAAGGGAGCAGAGATGCCACACCCACTTACACCCTTTGCTCTGCCCCGAGTTTGTGGCAGGGAGTGAGCCTCTAGCCATCATCTTAGGAGGTTGGAGAGTGGGAATGGGCAGAGGCAGAGGAGTCAGTGGCCCTTTCCAGCTGACTGGCACTTCCCCGCCACCCCTGTGTGGACTAGAGTAGCCTCAGCACGTCTGAGACAGTGGCAGTCAGGATTTGGGGAGCCAGCCCTGTCTCACGGCCCCTCCTAAAGGAACTTGCGCCTGATGAGGACAACACCAAGGATAAAGGAGCCTCTGGAATTTGCAGCATTTCTGGTCAGAGGCAGCAGTCAGTGTCTCAGCTGCAGGAGCTCCTGAAGGACTCGTACAGAGGGTCAGCTGCATCAATGATGGGACAGAGCCCAGCCCAGCAAGTGGGTGGACGCAGCCACTCGTCTTGGGCAGATGAAACTTGCTTGGGCCTGGTGTGCAGAGCTGCTGTTTGTGCAGACTCAGCATACCAGCTCCATGTCTACTTGAGTGATACTCCGTGGTTGTTTGGGTAGTGGACTCGTGTGGCAGATGGAGAGCCTGGCTGTGCATGAATCTCCGTCTTTTAAAACTCCTGTCATACCGACATTTCTTCGACTGACCTTGAACCATGGAAGAAAAAACAGTGTCTTCCTGAGGGAGGGGCAGTGTTCACTTTCTGCAGGGGTTTTAGAATATCCAGCAACAAGTTGCTCTGTTGCTTTTTATGACACAAAGATGGATTCCATTTCTCTCCAATAAAATCAGTGTGGGGCTTTGACAGTGAAAGGTTTGCAGGCAACAGAGATAGCACAGGACGAATGATCCTCTTTACCTTTGGTTTAACCTTTAGCCAGGATTTACCCTTTAACCTAGAGAGGTCTATAATCTCTTTGCCCTGAAATAATTATCTATATCCTTGTGTAAATCTGGAAAGCTAAATACATAGCTTTCCTTATTTCTCCAGGGAATGAAATAGGAGATCTTTTCTAAGCAGCCCCATTAAAGGTACTATTAATCTTTGTTATTGACATTTATGCCTGCAATAAAAATATTAATGGTATCGAAGGTGATATTTTTAATATGTTCAGAGATACTACTGGGAAGTGGCCAGCAAATGAAAGAGAAGTTCTGAGCCCTCTCACAGTGAGTTCTGTAGTGTTCTGGGAAGTGGGTGGACCCACCAACACACAGAGTTGAATTCAGCCAGTAATAACAGAGTGAGCACAGGGGTGCTGATGGCCTCCAGCTGAAGATGCCTTCTTTTGACTGCAGGTGTCACATCCACACACCAAGCTCATGAGGATCCCGTCCTTCCTTCCCAGTCCTGAGGAGTCGTCCTTGCCCTGTGGACCTTCAGTGACCAAGGCAGGGTCACTGGACTCAGAACTTTCAGTATCCCCCAAAAGGAATAGCATCTCTCGGACACACAAAGACAAGGGGCCATTTCACATACTGAGCTCAACTAGCCAGACGAACAGAGTGCCAGAGGGCCAGAGCCAGGCCCCTTCAAGCGCCTCCACCTCTGCCTCCACCCGCCTGTTTGGGTTGACTAAGCCGAAAGAAAAGAAGGAGAAAAAGAAGAAGAACAAAGGAAGCCGCTCCCAGCCTGGCGGTGAGTCCCCTATACCCCACAGTGCCTGTGAGTTCTAAGGAGAAGGGAGCACATAGCGGTTGGGGGCACAGTTCAGATGCAGAAAAGCCAGGCTGTCACCGTTCTGATCTTAGCCACTCGCTAAGAATGGGATGTGTATGCAGTGAGCATCAGCACACACGAGCCAGGTGGAGGGCGCAATTCCTAGTTTTTTAGACTCAAGAACCTGAACTCACTCAAATGAACTGATGCAGGCCCTCCTGGCTTGGCTAGACCTAGTCCAGGAACTGGTAATAACAAGTCGCATTTGACAGTTTGACCTTGTAGTGACTGTATGAAGGAGATGCTCCTGGCGGCTGGGAGAAATGAAGAAACTGAAGCCCAGAGATGGACTATTTCGCCAGTGGTCCCCAGAGCCTGTGGTTAAACTGTACCGCATGCCACCTCATCCTGTGCTGTTTCATGCGAGTCCGTTCCTTCTTAACAGGATTGAGCTCTGCCTTTTTTGTAGGAGGTTAAAGAGAAATTTGTATTTCTCAGGCCTCTTGATAAATTCTAGTGCTGAACTGAAAGTTCCAAGTTCAGCCTACAACCCCCAGTGTGTAGGAGGCGCCCTGCCCGTGAGCCAGATACCTCGTGCACCATAGCAGACTCGACCCAAGAGGAGGGAGTGAGGTGGAAAGGGAGCTTTTCGGGATTTTTTTTTCATTCTTGGTTTCACTGTTCCAGATGGCCTTGCATCAGAAGCATCAGCAGAGGGTGAGGAGATCTTCTGTTGACCCTTTTCCTCCAAATCCGGCCGCCATGCCCGCCTGCTTCTCCTCATGCCCCTCATGCACAAGTCTCCACACTGGACATCCACTGCTCCCCAGTGTCCAGTCCTCCTGGGTGTCCCAGGTCCTGCACGAGAAGGAGCAGATGGTCTTGAGTGTTGGCATGGGAGGAGGCCCAGACTGCACTCCAGCCGTGATCTGTGACTGCCCGGGAATCAGGGCTGGGGCTGGCCCTGCTCGGGTTGTTAACCGGAAAGTTGTGGCCCCAGAAGTACAGGGGATAGTTTGGGATATGCCAGGAATCCCGAAGGGTCTGCCTTTTATGTGGGGAACACGGCAGAACCGAACGTGTAGGGAGGGCTGCATCTGTGCACGTGTTCAGTGACCCGGCTCCACTCGGCCCAGGACAGCCACGGGCCACAGGGCCTCCGCTTCACCCCCTAGCCCACAGGGATGGGATCCCTCTAAACCACTCTGTGCATGCATCACCCCTTTCCTCATTCCATCTTTGCAGGGGTAGCAGACAGGTGCGAAGCCAGGGATAGGAATCCATACACCTTGATCTTGGTTTCCCTGGTTTAACTCACAGAATAGTATTTCCTCAAATTCAGAAGAACCATATGGCTTTTCCAAGATTCTTGCCTACAGGTCCTAGGCACAGAGGGTATAGAGGGCATCTCGCCCTTAGCCTGCAGTGTGACACTTTTTGGAAGTCACTGACCACTCAGAGGAGCCCTCGTGACAGCTCCAGTGGGCCCCACCCCGAGCAGCTGCCAGCCTCTCACCCACAACCCAGCTGTGGCCTGAGCCTCTCAAGGTCCCCCCGGACGACTGGCCAAGCAGTGGGCCCAGGAGTAGGGTCAGGCCCAGTGTACGGTTTCCCCTGTGCGGAGGAGGGACGCGCCGGCCTCCCTCGTTCTGTGTCAGGCTCCCTCAGCAAAACGCGGTTTCCTGAAAAACTTTCAACCCAAAGTCCTTTGAGTGTGAGTTACGCTGTACCCACGAGGGTCTCACAGCTGCCTGGTTTTTCTTCTCCCTTTCCGCTGTGTTTTGATCTGTGTGTGCTTGAGGCTTTCACTGCTGTACGTGCAGGCCAGCTCCGTGGTAAGGGTTCCCTCTGAGGCTCCCTGTGCTGCCGTTTAGCCTCCTGGCAGAGGAGACCTGGAAATTCTGTGCTTCGCAGGTGGCCTTCAGTTCCTGCTTTTTGCCCCTCAGAACCATGAGGCTTTGAACATTTCTTTCTAAAGACAAAAATCTGTAACTTGGTGCTTGTTGATGAATTGCAAGCTGGACTTGCAGATGGAGATATTTATCTTTCAGTTTATTTGAAAGAGGTCTGGTTTAAATTTTAGCCTAAATTGTTTTATTTATTTGTGTGTGTTGTGTTGTGTTGTGTTTTTAGGGTGTCCCGGCTCTCACCCAGCAGTGTAACCTAGCTGATGGGCGCGGAGTGCAGTGGCGGCCCGTGCTGCGCACTCCCGCCTTTCAAGTGCCTTGAGAGCCAGCTGGAGTCTGGGGTTGGGGCTGGGGAGGGTCCAGGGCCTTCTGTCCCACTCACGCGTTCACCAAGGGATGTCGCCTTCCTTGAGGGTTAGGAAACTTACCACTTGAGAACTCTCACCCTTCAGACCTAGACTTGAGGCCAAATCCGGCTGATTTTTAAAATGAAACTAAAAGACCCTGAACAGCAAAAAGTCAGCTGCTTCCTTCCATCAGTCCACACAGCTCCGAGTTAGAGCTGAACCTGCCGTGACTTTTCTCAGACCCCACGGGGCTGGCTGCGTTTCTGGCCCTGAGTGACCTGTAAGGGCTCCACCTCGCGCTCCCAGAAAGTGGGCTCGGAGGCGGCCCTGCGCGGCCCGTGCACAGGCGGCTGACTCGCGCTCACGGCCGCGGTGTGGACTCCGAGGTCCTGCGCATCGCTGCAGACGTGATTTTGATCTTCGAGTGTTTGTTGCTCCCCACTAGCTGTGATGTTGCCCTTGCCTTGGTGGTTTAGGTCATTTTAAAATGGGAGATTTTACCTCTGCCCACACCTCACTAACACAGAACAGTATGGTCAGGTTCCGCTTGGACAAGCTGGGACTCAGAAGGTCGAGTCTTGACTTACCCCGAGCTGCCAGTCTCCCCCAGGAAGAGTCTGTGGTGCAGAGAGAGAACCTCTTACCAGGAACTGTGCTTTCCCCTGCCTGCCCCTCTCTTCCCCTTCAGATTTGACTTCCGGGACGCACTGCTTTGCTTGGGAATCACCTGGGATTGCTGCTGTGGTGCTTCTGCTGGTGCCTGGAGAACTGCGCTAGTTCCCCAGTCTGTGGCCCGGGGGGAGTTTTCTCCGAAGAGCAGGGTGGGTTTCCAGGGGCCTGGAGAGCATGCTAAAGAAAACAGATGTCTGAAATTGTGATTTGAGTCTTGGGGACAGATGGAAATACTGGCCCCAGCCCCCAGCTTCTAGTGAACTTCTGGAAGGACACTGCACCTTCTCCTGACAGTTGCAATCATCTCAGTGGTTGTCCTCCCGATTGGGCGATGTGCACTTTAAACGCTCTCTCCTCAGTTGGCTCCATTTTTGAGACAATCAAATATGTTAACTTTGTTTTCTTCTTGGAAAATGGAGCAGGTTAAAACACGCAAATTGCCATGCCCGGCCTTTGCCAACATTCCCTCTGCCCCCAGGAGAGCGGGCTTGTGGGGAAGAAAATCCTTAACAAGACTTTCCTGAAAAGGTACGACCCTTGCCTTCGCCTTGCCCATGTCTCAGGGTTATACCACTACGAGCTGCCCCTCTAAAATCTTCCCCCGTTACTACCCAGGCCTCAATATTAGGAGCACGTATTTTATGAGACATTTGGGGTCTTGTGTGTTCCTTTCTTGGAGAACAGTGTGGTGGTCTTGTGTACAAGGGCTTAATAAATAGGTCCTGCCTTAAATAAAGGGTGGAAGCATAATCTTGTGGGCCAGAAAACACCTCCACAGAGGTACTTTGTACTGCACTCTTTCGTCCCTAGTGCCCTCCTGCTGCCGGTTCTTCTGAAAGATTTGGTACTTGCCCGGCGCTGAAGTTTACTCTGAGGACGGGTGGCCATTTGTGCCCAGAGGAAGCAGCCTAGGAGCAGGAATAAACAGTCCTGGGGAGGGGCGTCCGTGGCAGAGAGAGGGTGGGTCTGAGGTGGCCCCAGGCACTGCAGAAGGCGTCCACCCCTGTGCCTAAAGGTGACCATCTGGCTGGCATGACGGAGGTGCCCTTGTTCCCTTACTAGCAGGCCCGGCTGCCTTGTGCACCTGCGTCCTGAGCTGTCCCTCCAGCCCTGCTCCTCTCACCTTCCCAGAGACCAAGAGGGCAGGTCATTGGGTTTGGGTTCGTAGTTTTTCTTTCATTGTAGCATAACATTCCTAGTTAACCAGAGCTTTGGAATCTACTACCTGCTGGCCAGGTTTTGAAATGAAAAGTATTTTAATGCCACAAAAAGAAGAAAAAGAGAAAAAGGCCTTTCCACACACTTATCTATTGCGGTTTGTCAAGAGATTGGCAGGCCATCAATCATTCTGCATTTCACTGAGGTTTGAGGATGGGCAGTGCCCAGCGTGGCCTGCCCTCCCAGGGGGAGCCACTGTCCCCTGGGGCCTCTGGGAAACCCAGAACCCCGACCCTAGGCCTTCCCTGGAGCTGTCCCCAGTCCTCAGTACCACCCACTGGGATGGGGTCCCAGGGCACTCAGGAGCAGCCCTGGCGTGGCTTGTAGCCGGGTTGAGCCTGGCTGTGCCGGCGCCCCTTGCCCTGTAGCAGAAAGGTGGGGAAGTTGCTCTTGTTGGTTGTTGCAAATGCTGTATGAACATTCTGTGCTAACCCCTCTTAAATAACAAATGGGTTAAAACCCAGATGCTGTATATTAATTTGTAATTATGTATAAAGTGGAGCAGTTTTAAACTGTAAAGATTTTTTTCAGTGTTTTCTGGAGTTCTGCCACAACGTACTGGCTTTGTATTTTATTTATCTTCCTTTCTAGTTATTGGCTTCAGACTCTTGTAAAGTCCCCTTCAGCCCTTTCCAAAAGAAAATAAATCTTTGAAGTCTTGATGGTTGCTTTGATTTGTTTCTGTCCTGCAGAGAGCAGACTTTTGGAAGTAGACTCAAGACCCCAAGGGTGCATGAGTGATCAGGCCTCCACAGTCAGAACTTTGCGTGGCCATTAAGTCAGTGCAATGAAAGTGCCTTTGCAGTCCAGTCTACTGGTGTACTTCAATGTTAGGTTGCCTTTTCTGTCAGCTTCCTGTCTCATCCCACCCTCAAACAAAAGCAGCTGCTGCAAATTAACTCAACAAAAGTGACCCATTTTTGTTACTGCCAGGCACAAGGGTGTACCCTCAGGAGGCTGAAGCCGGAAGACTGCTGTGAGTTCAAGGCCGACCTGAACTACAGAGCAAGACCCTGTCTCGACAAAAGCAAAGCCCCTGTTGGCATGTAGCTCTGCTGGGTGTAACGGGTGGTCTCAGAACAGCAGGGGTTCTGCTGCCTAGGTGCACAGTGCCCCCTGCCTGCTCACTGGGTCGCTGGTTCCTTCCCCAAACCGCTGGCTCCTGAGCTGGCCCTGCCAAACTGCACAGTAGCCCGTCAGACCAACCAGACACTAGGCAACAGGGCGCTAAGAAACAGCCCTGCCTGCTCTCAAGGGTCTTCACACTCTCCATGCACGGGGAAGTGCATACATTTCTTCACAGCGACTCTGGTAGCCCTGGCAATAGCCAGCTCCCCTAGAGTGGGGAACAGTGGTCCCTTTTCACGGCTCCCCGCCAGCTGTCCCCTCCCCCCCAGAGTAGCCTGGCCCCATCCCACCCAGACGCCCTGGGCCACGGGAAGAACAGTTCCCAGGGGCGCCTCCCCCTCTGCTGGGGCTGGTTCTGAGCCAGACAGGCGCTGTCTAGGAGGCGGGACAGCACCATTCTTCTCTTCTGAAAGCTCGGCAGAGGCACAATGCCCAGAGGGCTCCAAGAATCGTGGACACCCATGGGGGGGGGCGTTAAATCTCGCCCGCCCCCGGGGGAGCCGGGCCAGGGCCTCTGCACCAGGCAGACCTGCCTGTGTGAAAACGGCCATGTTGCCAGGCAAGGTGCTGCATGCCTGTAACCCCAGCTACTTGGGAGGCTGAAGCAGGAGGATCATAAGTCTGTACCGAGCCTGGGCAACTTAAGGAGACCTTGTCTCAGAAAATAAAGGGCTAGGGATATCACGCTATGGTAGAGTGCCCTGGTTCCATCCCCAGTACCATGTAAAGAAAATGACCTTGTGTGTTTGAAAGCCCATCCATTCCCAGGGAGAGCCCCGGCCCATCTCCACGTCCGTGTGTACATGAGACCCACAGCGAAGGCTGCCGCGGGAGGGGTGCGGGGGAAGGAAGCTCCCAACCTGCTGGATGTCCGAAACGCTGAGTTTGTGTTCTCTAAAACCAAGGTTAACAGGAAAAATTTCTTGAGAAAGAAAGCTGTCTTGGACAGAAAGGGGTCTGGAAAGTGGGCTGCCCACCAGCCCGACTTCTCACGGGTGTTTACTGAGCAAAGCTACGAGGTGAGGCAGGTTCAAGGTGGGACAGAACTACAGTCAACAAGATTACAAGTACGGTCCTTTAGGTAATACTGAGCCAGTAGGAAGTCATCAGGTGGGACAAAACTGTGGCGAAGCAGTAAGGTCACACGTAGAGTTGCTGTAATAATGATTACATGGGGAAGCGTGTCGCTCAGCAAGGCACCCGGGACAGACAGGCTTCCCCGGAAGGGGTGGGTTATGGAGGTTTGGTCCTCCAGCCAAGGTGATGTATGTTCAGAGTATCAATCACTGCTGTTCATCCCTAGAGGAAGTATGTGGGTGAGTCGTTCCTCTTTCCTTGCAGCCTGGCTGTCCGTGAGTACACCCCCAGCCCTGTGTAACTGCCTACAATACTTCTGCCCAACTTAGGAGAATCAGGGAGGCCGAAAGACGAGGCGGCCAGGGAAGAGCTTGCAGAGCACAGCGATGCAGCCTGCGGTCCTGCGGCTGCCCCGGAAGTAGCCACAGGTGGGACGCCAGGAGAGCGGAGCTGCCGAGGGGCAGAGACCAGATTCCAACTCCTTTCCCAGCGAGGCTCACACCCCGCCCTTGCTGTGCCTGAGATGAGCCGGAAGTGAGAGGGGGCTGCGGCCTGAGGCTTGGGACCAAGTGGCTTGTGCCCGGTTTCCGCAACGTGCCCTCCCTCTGCTCACGTGGTGAGCACTTGCTCCACCCCAGCAAGCGGGGGCTTCTCCCTCCTGGCCCCTTTGGGCACCTTGCCTTCCTCCCACGAAACTGTGGCCACCAGTCAAGGAGAAGGACCAGGAGCCTCAGGGGAGAAGATGGGCCTGGGCTCCGAGCTCACAGCAGAGCCAGCTTTTCTCTCCCTGCCTGCCGTCCCCTCCTGTGAGCCCGTCCCACAGCCCGCCCCAGAGCCGGCTATGGAGTCAGAACTGGAGGGTCGCTTGGGCAACCTCAGGGGTCCTCAGCCTTCTCTGGGTCCCTGCAGTCCCGAGGAGGCCACTGATCCATCACCGAAACAATGCTGTCTGCCCCACATGAGCCTGGCGGGTGGACAGCTTGGGAGAGGGCCAGCTGGCACCTGGAAAGCTGATGGGGATGAGATGCCACAGTGTGGGCAACAGGAGGGCACAGACTTTCCAGCTCAGCCCTGCCTGTCCCAGCTGCTGCCCTCGGACAAGCTTAAATCTACCGTCCTTTCAAAGGAGGCCCCCACACACAGCTCGGGTGAGTGGTGCTGATCGTGTGGGTGCGTGGCGCAGGCTCAGGGCACAGCCTGCAGGAGCAGCTGTCACAGCAATGGGCCCCGGTCCATGCCGCCTGTGCCCAGAGAGCCTGAGGGCAGAACGGGCCTTCTCCACCGCCCGGCAGCACCCAAAGCAGCACCGGGCTCAGGCGGACACTTACTGCCTCTAGGCCAACACACGGGCAGGTTCAGAATAAGCCTCCCCTCCTGCCCTTGCTTGGCTCAGCTTCACTGTCATTCTAGAAAGCCTCTGGGATGGCACAGGCAAACCCAGCCCTCTCTCCGCCTGTCCCTGGGCCTGGACCCCTGCCAAAGCTGTAGTCGAGCTGCGCCCCACACCCCTGCCCCATCCCCGCACAAGGCTGGGGACAAAGGACAGGCAGGACTGAACCACGGCCCTTAGAATGGCAGGGGAGACCGGCAGGCCCAGGCCCTGCTGGGGGTGGTGGCTCACACCCTGCGGTGTCCCGTTGTAGGGCCCATCCTGCAGCAGGGCCTGGAGCAGCTGAGCACCCAGCATCTTCCAGCTGAAAGCAGATCAGGCACTCGGACCAGGAGGACCAGAAAGCCCAAGGACTCTCTCTCCCTGGATGGGATCGGGGGCCCTGCCCCGCAAGGCAGCCAGAGGAGCTGAGGTCTCACATTCACACCCAGTGTGTTCGGGCAGCATAGCATGCTTAGCCTGAGTGACAAGGTTCTCATCAGTGTTGTGGGGACTGCACAGACCCTGACGCTGTGAGAGAGAAAGCACTAAAGGACTGAAAAGACAAAGGCTTGCTACATCCTGAGAAATGTACTACGCATTTACCTGCCAGGGAAGCACTTCCTCGGATTGCAGGGAGCTCATATAGTTTCCAGTTTCTCTGGGTCAAAGAAAGTATCAGCATTGTGTCTGCTTGGACAGCGCGTGCGCAGGCTGCAGGGTGCGTGCATACATACGTGTGTGCGTGCGGGCATGTAAGTGAGTGGCACTTGCTGGGACCACCAGGAGCCTGCCACCCCGGACTGCAAGGCCCCCACCCTGAAGGGGGTCAGGCCTCCTCACTTGAGAGCAGGAGAAATGCAGGTCAAGAGTGTGGCCACAGGGCAAGCACCCTTCCCAGGAGCTCTGTTCCCACTACACATGACACCCCAAGATGCTCTGGCTGTGGGACCAGGGCGGGGATTAGCTCTGGTTTGTCTGCACAGCGACTGCAGCGATGACAGGACTGTTCTTTGTGAGACCTCATCCCTGAAGCGCTGGGTGCTCTGGAATGTGTCATGCCCACAAAATAAAGTGGCTGAACTAGAGCAGTGGGGTGAGCCTGGGCCTGGGCCACACTGGAGTCACCCGGCAGGGCTGTGGCCCTGTGCTGCGCACCGGCGCCTGAAGAGGCCACACTTGAGCCTTTTGGGCGGTTCCAACCTCAGCAGCTGAGGCCGAGAACCCAGGCTGGGTGGAGACTCCCGGGCTCGATCTCAGAGACCAACTTCCATTCTGCAGCTGAGGAGCCCTCCCGCTGGGTCCCCCCCAACGCAGGCGGCTCTGACTGATGTATCCCTGGGCTTTGCATGCCCAGGCTCCAGGCCTGAAGGATGACGCCCCTCTCCCCCAGGGCCTTGAGTCCACAGAGGCTGCCAAGCAGCAGGGTAAACATGGAGGCATCACAGAGAAGCTGTGGCCCAGGAGCGCACAGGCCAAGCAGGGCAGGGCTGGGTTCCAAGGACCATCAGGGGGCTCCAGGGGCACAGCAGGGGCTGGGCAGGGAAGACCCAGGCCATTACACAGCTCGGATTCTGGTGCTGACCTTTAGCCGAAGTCTGTGCATTTCCTCCTTAGCTGCGCCCTCCTGCCCTGCCTGGCCCAGCGTCAGGGTGGGAAGTACTGACACTCATTTTTAAAAGTTTTAAATACCTATAATCACACTGCCAGCAATAAATACTCATTAACGTTCCAAGAAGACGCCCAGTGTCTCCTATGTGTACAGTTTTTAAGCAAAACTGCAGTCATGTTCTATATATTTACACCCGGTGTCTTCATATTTTTTAATGAATATTGGGTGCTTAATATTCTGCTTTATGGATAAATCAGTGTTGGAACTTAGGTGTTCAGGTGCTCACAATTTCCTCTTAGGAATGACACAAGATGCCCCGCCTGCAAACACTGAGGAGGGAGCGAGGGAACGCGGGGCCCCGCGAGGGCTGGGCCGCCTCCTGGGCCTGCCTAGTCACTGTCTGTTGCTGACACACCACACCGGACACCTGCAACTTAAAGGAGGAGGGCTTTATCTTGCCTCCCATTTTGTGGGGC